TATTTATTAAATAAATTTTATACTACTAATTTATAGCAATAAAGCAACAATGATGCTATTTTTAAAAATGCTTAAAGTAATAACTAGTTTTATTAAAATATAACCTTTATTATATGCATATATTTGATATTAAAACCAATGTATTAATATTAAAAAAAACACGATACAAAGACAAAGAACAATTTAAAGAAAAAAAACAAAAAATAATACAATTTAAAGAAAAAACATAATACAAAGAAAAAAATTACAAAAAAACTATCACTAATACTCAATTTTAAACAATTCATCCATCTCTTCTTGTAACATTAACAAACTTTTTCAGAAATAAATTTTAGGATCAGAATCTTGAAGCGAGGTCTCTCTTGATCATTCATTACATCTAGCTTTGCCATTTAATATATTTTGTGCAGACTCATGCAATGGGCCACCATTTTCGAAATCTCTCTATGCAAATATATTAAATGTTAATACTATTATCTCTAAAAACAAAATATATAATTACTTATCAAATATTGTTTAATTCTATATTTTATACATGATTCTTTACACAAAATGCTTTGTGAGTGGGGGTTAAGAAGAATGTTACAAACTACAAGCATGAACACACAATGTTTACTAGTCATAAAGAGGACTGCCACCATAGTAAAAACTGTTCTTGTGATAAAAGACACTAAAAAGATGCCTTATTATTTTTTTCAAAAAGTGCATGATAGCAAGCACTTAGGCCATACAAAATTAATTTCTTGGTTTTTATAACCCGGCCGGGTCCAAAAATTGAGAAATTAAATTTTAAATTTTTTTTAATCTAGCCAATAGAAATGCTTGCTTTGGGCAAACATCATCGAGGAAATATCCTGTGACTGTTAACCAATAAGACTGCATGGATAAATCATAAGATTATCTGAGCCAATCAAATATTAGATCTTATCGCTAAATTTTAATATTTCATATTCTTTTAGCGGCAGATACGAACATAAGTATACCAAAGCTTTTGTTAGAAATATGTCACCACCACTACTCCTGAACGATATTATCCAACATGTGTTAGCAAACCTTACTATAAAAACAGATTTATTTATTACGAGGAGTAAATCGAGATTGGTATTCTATACATAAACATGCTAATTAAACAGCACCTTTTTTTTTCGGATTCTAAAGTTTTAATTAGACTTGGCACTTTATTTATTTCTAAAACGTGTTTAATATAGAGAAAATCAGAGAAGGAGAAGGCATATAATAACTACAATTTAATATACATGTATTAAATGATTAGGTTAAGCTTAGATTATTAGGCTCATATATTAGAAGAATTATGCTACTTGATTTGTCTGACTTGACTTTATTTACTATATATATTGATAGTTGTAGTTGAAAGTTTTTTTTTTTTTTTTTTAATCTCAAATACTAACATTATAGTGTTGCTTCAAAATCAAATCATTATAAGTAAAATTCGGTTAAAAAAAAATGAAGTTAGTTAAATTTTTGAATGAATAATGCTTGTCATCTGACATGAATTTTTATCTAATCTGTTATATATTTTACCTGACTAGTTCAATTGTATTGCTTTTTTTTCTTACTTACAGTACTGTTTCCTTTTTTCTTACTACCCTGTTTCCATTTAAATCATTTTTTTCGACAAGATGATGCCATTGCACTTAACGCAAAGAGGTAGTTCGCCTTTTGTTGTCTTCAAATCTTCAGCACCACTGCAATTATAGCATATATCAGGGTATATACCTGCTGAATAATACAGGTTTTCAATTGGTGATGCACAATTCCACGAGTCGTTTACAAAAACTTTTTCGAAAAGCATTCTAATTGGATCTTCTTCATCCTCACTACTATAATCAGATTCTGTAAGTTTACAAGATTCCTGCTCGCCATTATAATCATTATTTTGTTTACAAGATTCCTGCTCGTCATCATAATCATTATTTTGTTCACAAGATTTCTGCTCGCTATCATAATCATTATTATTTTGTTTACAAGATTCCTGCTCACCATCAAAATCATCATTACTTTGTTCATCAGATTCTATGATATTATTATCTTCGTCTATTTTATGAGAATTATTAAGATTTTCAGGACTATTGTTAATAACATCTGAATCAATAACCTGTATATCAGTTTGTTCTGTTGTGGCAGTTAGTGACAAATTATACGTATTATGGAAGGACATTCCGCATGTATATAAGATCGTATCCAAAAATCCTTTAAGCTTTTCTCATTCATTATTGGTAAGCTTTTTCATACTAAATAGTAAACATGGTTTTTCGCATTCGACACAAAATACGGTGATACTGACATTTTTCACACGAGCAGCCGACAGACAAAATGGCATAGTGTGTTTTAATTTTGTTGCCATCCCCTCCTTATCAGTTTTTGATATTATTGGTTTGGAATTCTTTAAAGAAGGTCTGTATTCTTCTGTTGTTGGTGTTCCATACAACTCATCGAATGACTTATAATGTAAATCCTCACCAGGAACTAGATTGGGAAGTTGTTTAAGCTGTTCGAACTCTTCGAACGTACAATGGCAAGGCTGACAAATATGGCAGTCTACTTTGTCACATTTTTTTATTGTAAAGAAATAGTGTCACATGGTACAACAGTGATTTATGAATTCTTTTAAATTTAACTTACGAAAAGGTAATATATGTTATTTTATTATCATTCAAACTAATATTATTTCCCTTAAACGGTCAATTTAATTCAAATTTATTAAAAATATACTATAATCTAATATAAATTAACGGTTTAGTCACAGGTCAATCATGAAATTTGTAGACAAATTTGCCTGCAAAACCATTTAAGGGATATTATCTTTATTACTTTTTGTTTGATATGTTCTGTAGTATGGCCATTGTGCATTATACTATCATCTATCATATGAATCGTTTCCTAAAAACTTTCTATTTCTTCATCAGTTGCCACATCATACGTTTTAAATGGCACCTTCTTCAAACTTTGATGTTCAAAAATCTTACGAATCAATTGAATTGGTTGCTGTAAACTTTTACTTAAACCAGTTTTCAAGATAGGGTTTTTTTCAGCAATATGTCGTATTTCACTCATAGTGTTGGTCTTTTTTATTAACAACTCTAATTGATCATTCATTTTGCTTCGCATTAAACCTACACACTGCAACCCTAAATTTAAAATTGACATTATACGCTCAACAGGATTTTTCCAAGAATGCTGTAGAGGGGTTCTAACAGCTACAAAATAGTCAAGGTCTAAAGCCAAGAATAAACAGATATATGACAGCTAGACATGCGCAAATGTGCATCGATGGTCAGGACCACCATCTGTATACAGGCATAATACAGGTTTGTTTTTGAAAGATTCATTCAAAAGGATATAATACAGCTCTGTGGCATGACGAATAGGTAAAGAAGATTGAAAAATTGGATCTTTCAAACTGATATACACATCTCCATTATAAAAGTCACTATCAATTGATTCAGGTATGTTACAAACTATAGTTACACTCGGCACTATTCCTGTTTTTGTGTAGTCATGATCACCAACTACAAACGTACTGTTCTCACTAATAACAACTTGTTTCCCTCTTTCTACTGCAGCTACGGGAAAACTGGGTTCTCCAACCTTACAACGGTGTTTGTCATCAAGAAAGACTAGGTTAGTAATGTTACGAAACTTAACTGCGAATTCTTTTTCATAGCAAAAGAGCACAGAAGCATAATGTGCATCCGGATGATAGGCTCGTAATTGACATGTCTGAACCATATATTTTAAAGGTAAACAACCTGTACATTGTCACAATTTCAGATAAGTGAATTTAATATAGACAAAATATAGGCAAAATACTATAGATGTTGTAATATATAGCACTTGGACATAGTACAAATAACAATACTAAACCTGTATATTGAAGGCTACTTAATTTTGATGAATTTTTGGGCCAGAACTGTAGCTGAAGCCATTGTGTGCTTGAAATCATTATTTCGGGAATGCATTCACGCTTGATTTGTTCCAACAAATTGTTTACTGATATCACTGTTGCAAGGTGAACAACAGCATCATGATGCCTTTCATCAACAGCTACTACAGTATCTGCAGCCTTTCCTGCAAGGAATTTGGCTGCAACTTTCCAAAAAGCATCATATTTTGAGGGTCTTCCAGTATTGTGCTCACGCAAATCAGTTGAAATTTCAGGATCACCAAGATCCAAAGCGAGTTTAATATGTGTATCTATCACCTTTTCATTTAGAAACTCTAATGCAGACATATCGCTTGTCAACATTCTGTAAATTGATCAAAGCATCACCAGTCTTACCTTTGGCAAAAGCATATCGCAGGTTCATAAGTAATTTATTCTCATTGCTCATGTATGATATTTCAGTGCATTGGCTTGTAAATTATTAATAATTAATGTGTTTTTCTGTAATATGGTCATCTCATCAGCATCTTCGTCAATTTTCCAAACTGAAACAGTATTGAATGCATTATTGCCTGAGTTGAGCCGACATTCACCAGTTTTGTAGGGAAATGCATAGGCAAGCCCTTGAATATATCGTAACCTTTGCCTATATATATATATATATATATATATTTTTTTTTTTAATATATATTCAGTTTATCCGATTTTAATATTAATATCTTGTTTACTTATATGGGTTCCATAGGTAAATGTTTTTCTATATCGATCGGCTTCCATGATGGTGTACTAGTAAGTACATTTACAAGTTCGTTATACTTTGTTTTATTAACTGGTGCGACCCAAGTATTAGGTTTATGAATTTTAATGGTTGTGGCATCTTCAATGCTTCGTACTGGAACCTCCAAATTATGATTTATAGCACTAATCTCTTTTTGTTGCTGAAGAAAACTAATATAACCTGAAATTGAAACAATAAAACTGTTGAGTTCATTTAAAAGCCATCTGAATTTGGGTGTTAACATCCATGGTGTTGCAAGATAATGTGCAAGAGACTGATAATGAAAATTAAGTTCATTTAAGTCAAATAATTTTCGTTTCTTCTTATATGATTCAGGGCTAGCACATCCAAAAAATTGCATAAGTGTTGGTGGAATATGGTAACTACGTTCTTTAAATTTATTATGATCACGCATATCAATGTACCAAATCACTTCTGTAAGAGTTACTACGAATTTTTTTCCTTCAGAATTAGCATATGAAGACGATGACTATCTATCGCCATTATTTTTAATCCAATTAATAATATCTTGTTGCAAAATTTGTTTTCGATTTAGTTTAGATGGCTGTGAGAAAACAGGTAAATATAATTGATCTTGTTGCGCATTTTTCATAATGATTGAAAGACCATTTTAAAGTGACGTTGAAGGTAGAGTTTAATTATTTTTAAGGCGATAATGTATGTTTGTTCCAAAGTTATTAATGAGCTCTATAATATTGCAGGTAAGACTAGTCTTTGTTGTGGTCGAATTTTGGGATTTACTTATTTCAACATATTCTATAATCTCAGAAGAATCTATTTTTACATTGCACTCTTCCATTATTCGTTCAATAAGTTCGTCATAAAACTCTTGAATTGTCATTTCGCGTGAGATGGAGTGGATATACCACCCATGGAGCGTTTTTGAACCCTTTGTGATATGTATATTAGCAACCGGCATGTTAATTTTACTGAGATTTAAAAAGCTATTTATACTTTGAAGGTACAAACAATTAATTAAAGGTTTATTATAACGATTTAAGATTTTATCGAGGTAAAAGCACACTTTTGAGCTATTTATAATCTGATTGCAATTTTTTACTTATTTTTTATTTTTATATTAAAGTTACATGACCGAAAAGTGTGATAACTGTAGATTTTGAAGCATTCGATTTTTATTAATTTTATCAATTTTATATTTTTTTTTTTTTTTTTTTTGTCATGAGCTTTAACACAGCAATATTTAATTTCTTATTTTGGTTTATTATAAAAACTTAAAATAATGGGCATGGGCATTATTTTGAAAATTGAGTCCTTTAAAAATGGCATGCTTAATTTCGAAATAACACCCAAGGGTGTCCTGAAATAATGTGCAGATGCCCGTTATTTTGAGTTTTTACGATATGATTTTCTCTTAATTCATTATCTTTATTGTTTAGCTGCTAATGATTTTACTTTTTGAGTTTTGATTACATCAGCTATCATATTATTTGGGTTATGAAAATAAATGAGTCGGTCTCTATCATTATTATTATTCGGAGACAATTCTTAAATTCAAAAATTTACGTTTGATCATTTTGGTAAAATAATGGGAATATTGGTGTTAATATTATTTTTGATCAATAATTGTAAATATAATATGATGCTAGAGCATTTACTTATATAGTCCAATAGTTGAAGATTTTATCAAAACATCTTAAATACTCATAGTAAGTCTGATCACGTTTACACTTAATTTTTAACAACGTTAAGATTTTTCGCATAATGCATAATTTACAAAACTTATGTAATCATGTGTATGAATCTTAAATATGTATATAAGATTTATTTACATACGCCAATTATTAGTTGCTAAATATGTATAGTAAACATTATATCGATATATGGTATGCATTAGACTCAAAGTAGCGTGGATTTAAAAATTCGATTCTAAGATGTATTAAACCAAGTCTATCATTTACACAATGTGTATATCATATGTTAGGTTCGAAAAGGCGTGGGTTTAAATTTGTGAGAATGAAATTTGAATTTTAGATGCATCAAACAAAGATTATTATTTATATGATATGGATAATAAATGTAATAATTAGTAAAATAAAAAAGCACTTCATCTGAGTTGACAGCAGGTCAACAGATCGAAAAGAATGATGATACGTCAATGAACTAGCAATCACATGAGTAATCCTGTTTTCAACAAGAAAACTCAGAACATTGCAAGAAGAAAGATAAGTACTTAGAAGCTTAGTGAATTACCTATTCAGGGTTTATTGCGTGGTTACTAATATAACCAAATTTGTTAGGGCATGCATGACAATAACAAGACAGATATAAAACTGAGAATCAGTGGGGCGAGGCAAATTCGCATCTCCCGCGTAGAATCCCGCCATTTTTTGCAATCTTTCAAATTTACAGCTAGCCTGCATTATGCAGGTGGAAAACTATCGGCTAAGATTATGCATTGCTAATTGTTCGCAAGGCTTTTGCTAACAGCTGGCAGGTGGGAAACTACCAGCTAATGCCAATTGCACTGATGTTTTATTTATCAATGGAGTTCATTAATTTATTACTATAATCGGGCATTTACTAGTCTAAATCTAGAAGTTGATGATATATAATTTAATCAAGGGTCAATTTTGATACTGTATATTATCGGTTTTGTATACATACCAATTTCAAACACCCAATCAAAGAACACAACCTATTCTCAAAAACTTGTTAACTGATATTTATAATTTGGGATGAAAATGTTCTTGATAAGTGTTCGAAATCGGTATACAAAATCGATATACTACAATTATTTATATAAAACTATTATTTATTTTTTAGTTATTTGCCATATTAATATTATAAAATATAAGAATTAGATACTTTTTAACTATATATTTAAAAAATTTTTTTTTTTTTAAAAAAAAAAGCCGGGTTGCCAGGTCACAAATTTTATTTTATGTTATGAAAACCAAGAAATTAACTTTGTATTGCCTTACTTTTAAACTTTTCTTCCATCTTACAATATCAGTCATAGCCATATTACTTCTTAACCAGGGCAACCTCTCAACCCCAAAAACACTCCAAATTGCTAACCTAATATTCTGAAGAGCAGTGTCACAGTGTCCTTGATTTTTTTTAGAAGCTATATAATGTAAATTGTAAGTATTTGGAAAATTGAAACCAAAACTATCATAAACAATATATAATAAAAAATTATTATCTACCAAAAAATAAAATAAATTGAGAAAGTTAAAAAATGATTATTAATGATTATAAGCAATAGATATAATAAAAAAAAAATATTATTAGACTCAACCATTGATCCTAAAAATGATTTGTGAATTCATTGCTGCTTAGATTAGATATAAAATCTGAGAACCTTTCCTCTAGGTAGCCCTTCAATGTTTCTTTAATTAGGGTTTGGATGGAATACATATGGTATAGAAAGAGATGTTTAGCAATGCCAGTAAAAATTTTCTAAAAAAAGCAAAAGACTTTAAAGTTTCATTTAAAATACAAAAAAATCACTCCAAACATTTACTATTATCAAAACTGCATAAAATACTAACTTTTAAAACTTTCAGGAAAGGTTCATTTTCCACATCACTTTGCTGATGTTTTAATTCTGCCTTAACCTCCCTTACATCTTTATTGAGCTTTTTTACTAAGACATACAGCTGCTGGTATTGAGCAAAAAGTCACTCATCTACTTGTTGGCAATGGTGGCAGGCATGATCTTTAAGGCCAACAAGCCCCCCAAAAAAAGAAAAAAAAAAAAAGTAAAGTAAAAAAAAAAGTAAAAAAAAAAAGTAAAAAAAACTTTATTTTTAGTTATATGAAAATAAAGGCTTTTATATAGATTTAATTATTAATTAACATTAATTACCTTGATTATGCTAATTAGGAGAAAATCGTCTTTCTGTCAATCTTTTCTGTAATTGTAGATGTGAGTGTAGTGGTGGTAGGATAATGAATGATTTCTATCATCAGGTGGAGAATGTGGTTCATATTGTAGAAAACATGATCTATATCATAAGCAGGATAGTTGAAAGAGTTGTGTTAAAGGATAGTAAGTTCGATGTTATGCTTGTATTAATCAGGATTTACTACTTATAATTGCAAAGGTTTTTTGAATACTTATAATACTTGAAGCAGCTGAATCTGATGAATTATAGCCATCATTTTAAGTTAGATGGGGTGGTTAGTGTAGAGAA